TTCTGTGTTTTTTATATATATATATATATATATATATATATATGGATATAATTGTAAACCATTTATCTCTGGGTTAGAAGACAAATCAAGACCTCATCTTGGAATTCGGAAATTGTAAAAAAGAAAAGTTTTGGATGATATGATTCTTTATAAACCAAACAAAGAATTGATCCAAAGAACGTCTTGTTCTCATATCTGGTTGATTACAGCAGCGTTCTGCTTCCTTTGTTTTATTGGTACCATGTTACGACTTGTAATCTGACGCTGCGTTCCTCTGTTTCTTCAACAGTGATTCGAGCGAAGGTGGTGGGAGAGAGCGAGTTGGATACCGGGAATGATATCTATGGGAACCCAATCAAGAGGATCCAGTATGAGGTCAAACAGATCAAGGTAAGAAGACACTGATCTGAGTATCGAACAGATGTTGCCTCCTTCACTCTGACCTTTGACCCACTCGCTGTTTTTTTGTTGTTGCAGATGTTCAAGGGTCCTACCCAGGACATCGATGCCATCTTCACTGCTCCTATGTCTGCTGTCTGTGGCGTCACCCTGGATGTCGCCGGCAAGAAGGAGTACCTGATCTCAGGTGGGTACCACTGGTGAGATGTCTTTAATCCGTACACAAACAGAAATGAGCGTTTGTACAGATAAAACAAACATATGACACGTTAATGAGTGATCTATTTAAGGTTATTTATTGGTAGTTTTTTGTCACCTTTTAGATGAAGCCGGACTAGCTGTTTCCCAATTATTGTCTTTATGCTAAGCTAACATCTCCTTGCTGTAGATCTCTCTGGCTCCAGAAACTCCCAGCAAGAAGGCATAAAGGTCAAAAATAGGTCAAATTCAAAATAACACTTTTAAATGTGTTAGTGTAGGCCAGGGGTGCCCACACTTTTTCAGCTTGGGAGCTACTTTTAAAATGACCAAGCCCAAATGATCTACCTGCACAATCTGTGTCGTGAGCAGGGGGTGCTAGTGGACTAAACGGCGGGTAAACTGTGACACGCTTACACTAATTGCACTAATAAGCGTATAATAGTGCGCCGCATTTGCGCTTCAGATGAGGAGGTGAGGCCCCCTCATAACTGCATGAACCCGTATGGCACAATACAACTCAGACTGGCTTACCAGTACGTCAAAAAAGTGGCAAATGCCATAATAAGGATGGATGGATAGGCTAACTTTTCTTTTCTTTTTTTTCAATGCCATGTGATCTACCCCTGGTGTAGGCTCTCATAACTTCTTATGGGCTATTATTGTTAGCTAAGTTTCAACCCTCAAACGAAAAGTGAAATAATAAGAAGACAGACAGATAATCAGATTCAGACCTCCAGGTGTTCACAGCAGACAACCTGGGTAACTGTTTATGTAATTATGGGTAATGATAAGCTGCTGACTAAACCCTGTGGAGACTGGGAGTGACCTTGTCTGCCGTGCTTGAGTTCCTGAGAGATGTACATTTAACTACTTTTTATCTTATCCTTGAGGGGATGAGGACCATGAGATAAAAATAAAGTACTTCACTCTACAACAGTACAACCTGAAGGGAGCATTTTGTTAGTGCTCTGGATGTATTGTGTCCATGAGCTTTTATTTAAAGTTACTTTCACAGATGCAATCTTAAACTTTAAGGCTCCTTAAACTCCAGTGTGATAAATTGTACAAGCCACTTATGTCATTTTTCCAGACGGATTGTTTAGATCGTGTGAAGTGGGCTTATATGAGGTGCTAGTGATACTGTAGGGCAGCAAAACTTTGTACGGTAACCTTAAAGGCCCATATAAAAAAAATCAATATCAGTGTCAGTTATTTATTGTGTGATTTAGATGTTTAAAAGGGTAGGTTTTTGATTCACCGAAAGTCAAACAAAAAACAAATAGATTTTGGCACTGTCTTCGAAGAGAGCACAGATAATGGCTGCAGTGACCCGTGGAAAAGGGCTGTCAGGCAATAACGTCAAGTGGTCAACATATTTCAAACCTAGAGTACACATGAACTGGTGGCTTAAATATGTTTTTCTTCTGTCCGTACTGTCTACAGCAGTGCATCGCTTAGTTTGATATCAATCGACTTATCCAACCACCACCAGAGTTATGAGCATTTTTCTGAAAATGTCAAACTATTCCCTTAATGTTTTATCCACTGGAACTGGCTAATATTGTGACAGAAAGCAGCAGAAGGAGACCTAGTACAGCAAATAGAGCATCGTGCCATGCGTGCTCTGGTTTCCCCATCGCAGACAGATGGACCCGCAAACACTGGGCCCTAATTACAGAGAGTTGTAAAAGGAGGAACTGCTGAAGCCAGCGTTTCCTCTCTCTCTCTCTCTCTCTCTCAGACTGCAGGACTTGAGCAGTGGGAAGTGGGACAGCGTTAACTTTCTGCAGACTGCGGCATCTTTTAAAACCATTCATCCTCTTTCCAGCTTTAAGGGTTAACACAGTTGGAAGAGTGCCAGTGAAACGTGAGTCAGTGCTGCAAAGACAGAAAACCTGTTGGGAGTTGCTCTGCAGACGTATTGCGGTGAAGTGAGGAGAACGCAGCCTCAGCAGATCTGTAAACTCAAGTTGAAGTGTATTCTTGTTTTGACTGGCGCCACTTGTGCATGAAGCAGAAACGCCGGCTTCTCTGTGTTGATGCCTGCAGGCACAGATTGGATCGGTTTTACCTGGGAACCTGTTGCCTGACACTAGTTTGACCTTAAGTCAAATTAAAGCATTTATATGATGCTTGTATGATCTTGTTAGGATTGACTTTTTTTGTAATTGAGATGGTTGATCAAAGTCTTGCTCTTTTGGCAGGCAAGTCCGAGGCCAACGGGCGCATGCATGTGACCCTGTGTGATTACATCATGCCCTGGGACTCCTTGAGCAGCACCCAGAAGAAGGGCCTGACCCAGCGCTACCAGATGGGCTGTGAATGCAAGGTAAGGCGGTGGAGGAATGCTGTGTATGCATGCTTTAACTCCCTGAGACCCACCCGCTAGTCAAGATAGTGAGGATGATATTTATTCAGCTAAATACTACCTACTTTTAATTACTGCAGTGTTGTCCTGTGAAATGCTAGGGCTTAGGTAGGCAAGGTGCAGCATGGGAATGGCAGACTGTGCCACTTTTGAATAAATAATACAGAGAGATAACTACTGGATTTATACCCATTTATGGGCTATGGCAGAAAAGAAAAAAAAATAGAGAAAGTTACAAATTATAATAAGAGTTACATAAAACAAAAATAACAATTTGAGTTAAAAAATAAACTTTATTAACATAATTGCAGATAAAAATCCAAAGTGAAGTTCACAGCGTTGTGATGTGATGAATAGCAGCTATTATAATTAAATAATTTGATATAGTGTATACTTTAACTTTTTAAATATACTATACTGTTATTGTGGTTTCAAATAATACCCCACCCTAACTGTAAATATAAATGACAACCGCACCAGAAGTTGACTTAACATGACTCCACAGACTTTGCACACAGTTTACTGAGAATGTCCTGTGTCTGCAGATTGTGCGCTGTCCTTCTCTGCCCTGCGAGATCTCGGCTCCTGAAGAGTGTCTGTGGACGGACATGATGATCGAGAAGCAGGTGCACGGACGCCAGGCCAACCACTACGCCTGCGTGAAGCGGGCGGACGGCTCCTGCTCCTGGTACCGCGGCATTGCGTCGCCCAAGAAGGAGTTCCTGGACGCCGACGACCCTTAGTCACGAGGCAGGCCTGACTGCCCACTGTCTGGAAAATAAATGTAAACGATTCCATTGATATTCAAGATAACAACATCATATTTTTGATTAAAAAAGGCAAAGCTAACGTGTCTAATATTACCTGCCGGTCTGAAAACAACCTTCAGCCTCTCTCTGTATTTGTTGTCCGTTAGCATTCCAGTCAGAGAAAGCGACCTCGGCATTGCTCATTTTGAACTGAAGAGGTTTCGGAGGTTCTTCTCAGACACAGCACTTCTTTAATAACAAATAAAATGGCATCATGAGACATAGACTGGTCAAGTGATGATGTAACTTCCTCCTGAGGCTGGCGTCAGGAGGACATAAATTCTCGGTGAGACAGAGCACTTCCTGCCCCGCAAAGCGCTTTAACAGCTCTCCACCAATCAGACGATCATTTGTTTCCCATCGTGTTTCTACTTTTATTACCTCATTCTCCATTTTTATTCCAAAGCCAAATTCCAAGTTGCCTTTTTTTTTAAATGATTGTCTCGCTCTCTCACTATTAGTTTCTCTCTCGTCTTCTCTGCTGGTACACCCACGACACGGTTTTCTTTTAAAAGAACATCTAGCATGGCTTTTCTGGTTTCATTAGGTGAAACATCTTTTCTTGTGGTGATTTTAAGTCTGCGATCTTCACAGGCCTCACTGGACCAGTCTATGCGGTGCAAAGATCAGCTCTCTAAATTAAAAAAAACCTGCTTCCCGCCCAGCAGTCCAATCAAAAATATCCTACATTTCACATCTTCATTCCTCTTCATTCTTACCCCCATTTTGTAGCCGTACAGTACTCATGCATATACTAGTTGTATTGTTACTTGATGATTATTATTTACTGCATTAGAACTAGATTTGCACTTTTTTGAGGTTCAAGTACAAGAGCCTAAACACTCTGATGTGACATTTATCATAGTTCGCCCCGACCGACAGATCCACCTCAGGTGCAGATATCTCCTATTTTGAGTGCTTTTGGTGATCTACATTCACTTATTCTTCCTATGTTTGTCATCAGATCAAATTGAAGAAAAACTAAAAAAGTGGCGCCTGAGAGGTTGGGATAAAAGGGATCTTTTTGCAGGTTTAATGTGTGAAAGAGAAACAAAAAGAGCTTTGTTGGATGTTATTTCAGTGTCTTTGTACTATCTGTTGATTGTAAATGCCAACAGCAGTTTCATGATTTGCCAATATATTCTCGCAGATGGTTTATTTCATGAGTAATAAGGTATTAACATGCTTACTGTTAGCTTTCCTGCTCTTTCCAGTAATTAATGAAAGCTTTACCGCTGTCATAGAAAGCAAGTTATCAATCCAAGTTTACAGTGCTGTTTTATACACCTTAAGCTATCAAAAAAAACTATCTATGGAGTATTAGAGGCATAATTTAAAAGTAAACTCTTTCCATTTGCATTACTTTGTATTTTTTCAGTGTTATTATTATACCTGTCATGATTTTTGTGTGTTTTCGCTGTCTTTTGTCTATGATGTCTTTAGCTGTAATGTCGAGGTGAGAAGGTCCTCTTGCGCTGGAGTAACGTGAGAGTGAGAGAGATTAACCGTTTTTGGAGAGGTGTAGAGAAATGAGAAATGGGTACCTTGTGTTAATAGAGGACTGTGCATGTGTTTGATGCTTTGTGTAAGTCCAGGCGAAGGACAAAATATTCAGTATTATCAAATAAAAATCATGTTTGAAAGAATGAATGTCACCTGTGTGAGTCTTTTCGAGTGTTGAGGGGATGCAGGTGTGTGGGCCCAAAGGCCGTAAACATTTGTTATACTTTTGCTTTGTGCTGTTAATGAAACAGACAAATGGCGCTGTCCTGTTAGTGAAGATTGACAAAGGGGACGTGATGAAATACAAAAGTTAGTGGAGGAAGGGTGTGGTGAAATGAAAACTGACATTTTGAGGTAAAAACTGATGCAATTGAATAACAAGAATTATTTGTGTGTTTTTTTTTTACAGGATAGGTTAGAGATACATTGTAGTTATGGAAGATAATGGTATTTAATAGCTACCCCAGAAACAGGGTTTAAACTGGGACAGTTAAAACCGTAAGGAAGAAAATGTCAATAATTCTCATTATTTTCAATCTTGATAGTTTCTCTGTCATGTAACAGTTTAGTTCTTAAGCGCTCTTTGTCACCTTGCTAGCACCTCTGTGATGCACTACTTTGAATAGCGGGCCTTATGCTAAATGCTAACGTGTTCCTTTATGCTATGCTAACATCGGAATGCTAATATACTCACAAAGGCTAACCTATTGTTGGATAGCAGACATAATGTTTACCATTCCAATTGCCGGTTATTTTGCTGATTTAGTTAGCTAGCTACGTTTTTGTGAGAAAAAGAAGCAGAATAAAATGTAATTTATATAGTAGGCCATGGCTGAGTTTTAAATAACCAGAATATTAAATTATTTCATGGTAAAGGATTTAGATTTTCTGTGTGGTTATTCATATGATAAGTATCATGATTCATTACATTTATTGACTTAAAATCCTAGTTGCTTTTTTCAACACACTGAGATTAACCTCCAAATATGTATAATGTAGCCAACCTTGATTACAAATGTTAAGCATTCAAACTTGGCCTTCATTTGATGGCTGTTCCTTTCCCTTGGAGGTTGTCAGCGTGTGAGCGGACCGAGCGGACACACTTCTGAGTGCAGAGGCTGCGAGAAGGGCAGACAAATGCTCTTAAAGAGACGTGGTAATCGACTCAACTAGGAAAATATTTGAGCAATGTGCATGCAGAGCTCAGCTCGGGCACTGCAGCCATCTCTGTTCATTCTCTCAATAATGTCAAACAGGATTGTATGTAAGAATCTTCAAGTGTCAGAGGGGATTTCATTTTTCTTACACTCAGAGGTCACTGTTTCTGAGAGAGGGTGTGAGTTCATTATACATATTTTGAATTGTATCTACTGTATATATGGACTGATTCTGTCTCATCTCATAAATAGTTTTGTTTGACTTCCCCATTTCTGTTTGAAATCCGGTTGGGTAACGCCTGATTAAATGAGGTGGGGGTAAATTGTTGCATCCTCTGATGTGCAATCCTTGTTACATAAGAGGAAGGAAGAGACAAATTGTAACTTCCGGTCCAAACAAACACAAGTAAACGAGAAGGAATGAATTGCTCTTTTCGAGTATCATGTTGCATTTGGGTTGAAACATACGAGTAGGACTATCAAGATAACTTGATGGGAAGTGTTTATGAACCTCTAACAAATAATTTAGTGGGAATGCTGATACAGCATTCCAACTATATGTTATGCTACGCACAAAAAGTTTATTATTATTATTCCGCCGATTTATTTTGGCCCTCTTCTCCTCCCGCATTCCACATCACAGAAACTCCGTTCAAACATCAAAACGTTCAGCTCGGTCGGGAATCGATGGCAATTACTTTTCTCATTCATAACTTTCATAATTCCAGAAATACATCCATAGACTGTAGGATACATCCCATAATACATCACATTTTTAACCGAAGATCAAGAGAAGAGAGAAAGAAGAGAGAGATGGCGATCAAGAGAAGAGAGAGAGTAATGTAACCTCCTAATGTAATGTATAACTCCTATGAAAATGTTCAAAAAGTGCTCAAACTGTGTGCTAACAGTCCAGCCGTGAAGACATCTAAGGGACAGTTTTGAGATTTCTTCAAATGCCGTTGCCATGGCAACACAATGCTCGCCATAAAACACGGTTCTCTCATAACTTCAGTGAAAATGCTCCAAACGGCCCAAAACTTCATAGGTTTGTTAACGATGCAGCCATCCACACATCAAAGCATATTATGGGCTGTCATCAAATGCCGTTGCCATGGCGACAGATCACTCGCCATGAAACACGATGTCGCTGTAAGTCCAATGGACATGGTCCAATCGTCCCCCAATCTTCACTTGCATATCACTGGTCCATGCCTCAACAGCTCTACGCCAAATCTGAGATCTCACCATATGCCGTTTCCATGTAAACGTATCACTCGCCATAAACGACGATGTCGCTATAACTCCTATGAAAATGTTCAAAAAGTGCTCAAACTTCACATGTGTGCTAACAGTCCAGCCTTGAAGACATCTACGGGACATGCCGTTGCCATGGCAACACAATGCCTGCCATGAAACCCGATTTTCTCATAACTTCAGTGAAAATGCTCCAAATGGCCCAAAACTTCACAGGTTTGGTAACGATGCAGCCATCAACGCATCTAAGCGTATTATGGGATGTCATCAAATGCCGTTGGCATGGCGACAGATCATTCACCATCAAGTTAGTTCAAAAGTTTGCAGTTCAAATATTCTGCTGCTTTTCCAAGCCTTTTTGCTTTCTTTTCTTCTCTCATCCAACATTCAAGCCCCCAGTGTTCATGTATCATTTCAATCTAAATTCTTCACTTTCTTCTTACACATTACATTTCAGCATAGCAGTTTAGTGTCAGCTTTTCAGCATAAAGCATTCCCACAGGCAATTTCTTCAGGAATTGCATTCTCTAGTTGATTATTTAAATCCATATCTATTTCTTTACATGTTTTAGTCAAAATGTTAACATGAAGCTATAGGCTTTTAAGGATACCATTTTGACGTAGTATGTACTCAGTTTTATGCTACTTTATAATTTTTACACACTCAATAATCAGATGATATAGTGTATTTCATATATTGCCTAAATTAGATTTGACATTTAACTTGTTGTTCTGTTATTCATTTCTATTCTATTTTAATTTACCACCTTCACTTGTATATTTCTATTTCTACATGTCAAACCTTTATATACTAATTCCACCACTGGAAAAAAGTATAAAACATATTTTTTCAATAAACAATTAATGCAACTGATTTTAACTGATATAATTAACATCATATACATTTAAAAGTAAGCTGCAAGTAATATTGCATACATTCACATACACACATTGTCCCTTGTAGCTGTGATGCCTCCCGGTGGCCACCAGAGGACACAGCAGACTCTCCTTCTCTTCTACTGCTCTGATTAATGTAGCTCATCTATGTGACTCCAAAAAGTATACATATACAGGAAAATAGAATTAATGAAATCACATGAACCAAAGCAAAATTAATCGTATTATTAAAGTACAACTATTAATCCATTCCCAATTATATTACTCTTTTGTATATGTTAAAGGTAGTGAGTTATATCATTATCCTTAACATTACAGCATAATTTATTTGATGGTTTAATTTTGTATTATGAATCAGAATCTGCAAAGTATCTATAACTAAACATATTGAATAAATGTTAAAAACGTATGCAATATATTCCTTTGAGATGCATACATGTATAAAATGGCATAAAACAGAAATACTCAAATACCTCAACATTATAGTTACGTAAATGTGAAACTCTCCATCACTGCATAATACACAATATGAAATAAAAAATGAAATAATTGAAGAAGAAGAAAGTAACCTATGCAATGCCTTACTAAAGAGAGTGTTGACATATTTGACTGGTAAAACCCATTGATCATCCATACTATCGTGTTAACACCCCCATGTTTGCTTTCAGAGGAACACAGTCATTCTTGAATCATGTCAGCTGTCAGAGAAAGAACCGCCCAAAACAATTTCCAGATAAAATAAGCACAACTTGCCTCATTCAAACTCATCATGTGGATCATGCAGCAGCTGGAACACTCTGCCCCTCCATGTGAGGTCGGCCCAGACCCTAGGGTTTTTAAAAAAAAAAAGACTCACTTCTTCTCCCTGGCCTTCTAGTCAGAGTGGAGTACGACTCCTGACATTTCCCTGTGTTTGATTTTTACATTTGCTGTTGTAATTTATTGTCTTCTGTTTGCTATCGCAGTAAAGTGTTTTTATTACATGTAAAGTACTTTGGCTCGACCAAAAATCGTTTTTAAAATGTGTTATAGAAATAAAACTTGATTTGATTTTGATTTGATCATGTGAATGCAACATTTGCAAAAGCAGAGCCGATGATAAACGAAAACAACAAGTGCAGAAAAACCTACTGCAAGATGTTTCTGAGACATTCAGAGACGATGGCTTTGCCTTATGATGATGTTTTTACCTCTGTCCTTTGCAACATAGAATAAGAATGAAATGAATAGTATTAATCTAGGGGAATCACAGAACAATTTAGATATTCAGGCCAATCTGGAAGTTTAAACTTGATAAAATTCTGATAATATTTGACATTCTTAAGAATTTAAGTTCTGATTTTCGACCTTGCCTTTTATCTCTACATTCCTCTATCCAGACTCCTCTATCCATGCTTGACATACCCCCCCCCTGTGATCACATTTAGACATTTAGACATTCACATTTGTGGTTTTTTGATTAGTTTTGTAACTATATTATCTTTAGTTAACTACATATTTATGCTTTCGATTACATAAAGTAAGCATGTCAAATTCATGAACATTTTCCACCTAATTTAATTATGTAAGTTCAATATACCGGATCAATTTTTTTTCTCCAATATTTTCTGATAAATACACTTTTTATTACTTTTTTAAAATCAAATATTCACAAAGACCTCCGTTTGGGATCTAGTCAAAAATAAGTGTAACTTGATTTTTGGCATTCATGTTATACAAAGCATATTTACATGGTGCATACCTGTAAGTTTGTTTGTTGATTTTAAATATTTCAGTTGCATGTTACTTACTTTTGAAAAGCATAATTGACCTTTTTGAGTGAGAAACCACTA